CTGCTGCCCGGCCAGGGCTTGCAGGCCAACCCCATGCTGACCTCCGAGCCCCCGCAGGGGCAGCCGGCCCAGCCGCCCCGGGCGGAGATCGGGGGGTTCACCCCCGCGCCGCCCGCCTCCGCCCAGGAGATCCAGCCGCTGAACAAGCAGCCGGCCAACGGCTCGGGCGAGGGGCACGCCAAGCCCCGCAAAGCCTTCCCGGTCCTGGCCATCGACTACGACCACATCCGCATCCCCTTCGAGATCTCCCTCTGGATCCTGCTGGCCTGCCTCATGAAGCTGGGTAGGTGGGCGGCGGGGTCCCGGGGGAACGGCGCCAGGGAGGGACCCCCAGCATCCCGGAGAGGGACCCCCGGCTTCCCGGGGCAGGCACCTGAGCATCCCTGGGTGGGACCCCCCGGCTGAATGGGGCAGGCAGCCCCGAGCATCCCTGAGCAGGACCCCCTGGACCATCCCTGGGTGGGAACCCCTGGAGCATCCTCGGGAGGGACCCCCCGGGCAAACCAGGGCGAACTCCCCTGCACGTCCTGTGCAAACCCTGTGCAGGGGTGGGCACCGCTCTCCCCACGACCTTGGGTCTCTGCTGTAGGCCTGGCAGGCAGGGCAGTGGCACCCCAGCCCTTTGCTCGGCAGCAGCTTGCTTGTCTCACTGTCCAGGAGTGGGGCTGAAGATGCTCCCCGACCCCTGACCGTCCCCTGTTTGGACCAGGTTTGCTTTCCTCCCTTTGGCACTCAGGCAGCAGCGGGGAGGAAGCGTCCCATTTGTTTCTTTGCTTCCTTTCTCAACCACAGATGCCTTTTGTAACCTTGGAGAAGTCACTTTAAAATATCCTAGTGTTTCAGCCTCCCCTTCCTCCCCCTCCGCAGCGAACCAGGGTGGGCAGCTGCCTCTGCTGCAAAGCGTCCGGAGGACTCCTGCATTAGAGATAACGAGCATCAGGGGCCATAGGGGTGGGAAAAGTCACCCGCTATGATGACCCGCTCTGGGAAAGCATCAGTCTGCCAGGGCGGGGGTTGTTGACAAAGTGTTTTCCAAACTTCTGCAGCTGGATCAATACCAACCGAATTACCCCAAAGCGTGTGACGTGATGTAACTGCTCTGCGCTCGTGGCATCGGCGCGCCGGACCCGGCCTCCAGCAGTGCCGAGGTCAAGCTGGCCCTGGTCCCATCGGTGGCGATAAAGCCAAGAGGGCAGGTGAAACGTTTGCCTGTTCCTGCCTTAGAGCGGGTGACAGGAGGGAGGGGAGCTCTGCGTTTCCTTCATTTTGCTCCTCAGTTACCACCAGCGATTTAATAACGCTAACGGCAACACTCCTTGTGGAGCACCCCAGCTTGCCGATGGAAATCTTGCTTTGGGAGCTTTTTTGCGCTGGTGCCCGCTGGAAACTGTGCCCTGTCCTGGCCTGGAGGGGTCCGAGAGACCCCCAGGAGCTCACGTACTCCCTGCCCAGCTTTTCCTAAAAATACCTCATCCCTTTCCCAGCCTGTGTGAGCGTGTGTAGGCAGGTAAAGCTCCATTTTCACAATCCCTCCTGGGTGTTTTATTTACATGTAGGCGCAGGAGCGCAAACACTTCAGAACCAGTGGCTTCCTGCCTGTCTGGGAGACAAGTGGTCGGGGCAGAGTGGAACCCGGCGGGATCCGTGGGGTTTATCCCTTCCAGGCTTTGCCCAAATGATTTAAGACACGTTTAGCTAGGAGGTGCCTCGCCATAGGCAACGCAGCCGCGAAATCTCGTTTCCCAGGGCTCACCCGGCGCATGTTAAGCGACCTCTGCTAGCTGTTCAGGGCTATTGCACTGCGTTTTCAGTCCTCCTGTCTTGGAGAGCAGAGTGATGAAATCAGAAGTATCTGTGCGGAAGCTGGTGGAGAAAGGAGGGGCTAACGGCGCTGGCCTGCGGCCCTGCTCAGGGCGTGCTTTGAGAAACCGCCGCTGGAAAGCACCAGAATGGGCAGCGGAAAGTGGCTCCCTGGGGACGGACGTGGAGGGGGGCACGGGGGCATCGCTGGCCGCCCCCGCCCACGGGCACCCTCCGTCATCGCTGCTGCGCCGGGCCGCTGCGTGAAGCTGTTTCTGCTGCCTTTGCCTGAAGTTAGGGCTCATTGCTGCTGCAGGAAAAGTTATTTCTGGCGGTGAGCTGAGCCCCGTTGGTTCTTACGTGTTAAAAGTATTATGCAAGACTGCGTGTTTAAGGGGTATATTTTAGGAGAAGCTGCCTTGCAAGTTTGGCAAGGGTCCTTTGGAGATGGCAGGTGATCCTCAGAGCTGCAGGGATGCTGATTATGCCAAAATCCATACCTTAGATTACCTACACCTCTAACAGGGGCTTTGGCAGCAGAGCAGTCCTGGGGCCTCCTCTCCCGGGTTTTGAAGGGGAGAGCGTTGCTTGTTCACGTTGTCTTGGCATGTAGTTCCCAAGTTGCTGGTACAGCTGAATATTCAGGCTCCCTTCACTCGTGACCTGCAAAAATGTCTCGCTGGTCAGTGTCTAAATACTGGCCCCATCGATCCCAACCGGGATCAGAGGATGTTGTTCAGGAGCAGCAAAACATGCTTTTTTTCACCCAGGGATAGGTCTTACACAACTGGGCGCCGCTGCACGCCTGTGCAGTACAAGCTGCAACGGCAGGATGGGGCACACATGTCTCCAGGCTCCCTAAACCAGGCAGGGTTTGGAGCATCCAGTTTCCATGTAGAGGGGAAGGGGGGTGATGAGCAGAACAGGAGTTCGCGGCGCTCCCTCTCTCCCCCCTGTCCTGTTAGTGTGCATTTATTGGTGCATCAGGGTAACCCTGCAAAAACCCCTGAGGTGCAGGGGACAAACATCTTTTCTCCAAGAGGGGGAATTGGTGCAGCGTGGGCAGCTTGGCACCTCCTGACTTCCCTTCCGCAGCTTCTCCTCCAGCCCTGGGAGCCCCTTTGCCAGGTTAGGGCTGGGGATTGAGCCACGGGTTGCTGCAAAACTAAAAGTCTTCAACCCTCTGAATGATTTCTGAGTGTCACCAGCTGGCGTAGTGCAGGGTGGCCACGTAGAGGAGCTCAGAAGTGCCCACAGGGCTCTGCTCTGGGCCAGGAGATGCAACCTGACCCCCGTCCCGTTGCTCAGCGTCCCCTCATCGCTCCTGACGCCTCAGACAGCTATTCAGCCTTAAATGCGTCCCAGGGCTGTCCCTTCCAGCTGACTTACCCTCTCTCCAGCAGCTCTAACTGTGAGTTTGTTTGGGGAATTAAAGGTGCGAGCTGAGCCCTCCCTCTCTTGATGCGGTTTTTGTAAAATGCCTCAGAGGAGGTTGGTCCTGGGGGATTCCCCACCTGACAGGTGGCTTTCTGGGACAGAGGGACTTGTCACCCCAGTGTGTCCTGCAGGCATGGGCTGTTTCTGCTTTGCTAATCCCAGTAGAGAAGGGGAAGGCTAGCGCTGGCTGCTTTACTTAATACTCACGCGGTATTTTAAGACTGTGTAGGAGAAGAGGGGGTGAGGGATAGCTACAACCATGCCTTTCCAAAGCCCCACCAGCTACGTGCAGACCACATCTGGTGATGGCTTGACTTTGCCAGTAAAAGTGGAGAAGCCTTCGCTGCTGAGGGTTGCAACCAGACTTTGTCTCAGCCTGTTGCATTGCTGCAGAAGGGCAGACCTTCGTAAAACATCCAGATCAGAAGCCCTCTGTGGCCATCTCCAAGGTTTTGCAAGGATATTGTACGGGTTTCCTTCGCGCCCTGCCCAGCGAGGGGTAGGGAAGGGCCGGGGGTCTCTCAGCACAAGAGCCTGTTTTCCTGACTCTGAGGACTGACCTCTCGGCTCGTGTGGCTCCAGGAGATGTTCAGGGGAATTCAGGTTTGACTGTAAATATTTTTCCATTTCAGGGGAAAGGGAAGGAGTGAGTCAGGAGGGTAAATAACAGATTGTGGTTAGCAGTCCCTTTGCTGGCTGTGTGGGCATGGGCTGGGGCCCGGTGGTCAGAGCTTTATTGCAAGCCACCAGCTCTTACCCACCTTGGAGAGGAGTTGGGGTTACCTCTGTCTCCAAAGCACATCTTAGGCCCTACCTTCTAAAGCAGAAAAGCACAGCAGTCATATTTCCATCCTGCATTAGGAGCCGCCTTCAATCGAGGCATGCCCTGTTGTCTGTCTGCAGGGCTGTCTGTCTGCACCAAACGGCTCTTCAGCATCTGAGAGCTTCCCAGCCTCCTTGGAGCATCCTGGCCGTTCCAGCTCAAGGGCATAGTGGGGACTTGATTTCCTACCTGTCCCCACCGGAGACCGCTGCGGAGGGTCCCTGCAAGGCACCACTTCATGACTGAGCTCTCGTACCCTGCTTTTGCTCGCTGGTGCGCGCTAGACGCTAGCTCGCTGCCTGATGCGGTGCTTGGGTTGGGGCTGGAGCCTGTAGCAATCACCAAGTCATTCCTCTGTCTCTTCTTATCCCTTTGCAGCACTCAGGTTTTTAGTGTGTCTGGGTCAGGTCTGTTGTCTGAGGGGTTCCCCCTCCCTCCAGGCTGTCTGACGGCAGCCAGCGCCAGCCCTGTACTTGCAGAAAAATCACTACTGTGTGATTGCCGGACTGGTGCAAGGCGAGCCGGGGAGAGAGCCTGTGCTGAGCGAGCAGAAAAGGAGCCCAGAGCTGTGGGCAGTAGTGCACTATGTGGAGACACGCTGCAGCTTTGGGGCTCGGTTGGTGACACATCGCAGCCCGGTTAACCGGGCATGGGGCATCCCGGTGGCAGGCTCCGGTGTTCAGTGCCACTCCTGCGGCAGCAGTTGCCTTTGGCCAGTACTGACCGTCCCCATTGCTGCTGGTGTCTCGGGAGGAACAAGATTAAGGAAGTTCCTGGTGCCTGCGAGCTGGTGATAGGAGCTGGGAAAAGAAGAGCAAAACATGACAGACGCAAGCGGGGCTGTGGAGCCTCACGGAGGCTCTGGGCACGGCGGGGTGGCTCCTGCGCACGAAGGAGCGGGGACGATTTCAAAGTTGCCAGAGAAACATTTTTAGAGACTGGTGGCTGCTGGCTGGCAGCAAGATTTGGGTGCTAAAACACTTGGGTGTTTTCAAATGCTTTTAGCAGCCCACATCCCTCCCCTGAAACCAGGACTTTTGGAGGGGGCACCCCAGGGGTCTTAGAGAGATCTGTGAGTCAGGGACTCGAGGATTTGTTTGGGTGAGGGGCGATAAGCAGGGTAAGAAACCTGTTGCAGTGGTGGCACAGGGTGCAGGAACTGGATCTTGAGACCAAACATGGCAGAAACACCCCGGAGGAAAGCCACCGGTGTGGGGACACTG